GAGTCTAATTGTCCTGTGGGTAGGGCGGGAGGATGGGGCTGGGACAGGTAGCTTCATGTCTGGGTCCAGACCATGGAGCTGACCCAGGAGCTTCAGAACCACAGATGCATTTCAACTGCCATGGGGAGCGGCATTGCTGTGGAAGAAATTCGGGTAGCTGTGACTCCCCACATCCCTGCCAGTCTTTGGACATCTTTTTCTTGAAGGCTTTGCTTTCCTGAACTGCACTGTGTTTAAGCTGCGTGTAGGTATTTTGCACATTTCCAGCCTTTCCTGAGGTTCTTCTCTGCAAACTGTAAGGTACTCCTCCGAGAGGACAAGGCTGCCATGGCCTGGGTAGGTGGCTGCAAGCTCCCTTGCTGTCCCTTGTCAACTATTTCTGCAAAGGGTCTTATGAAGCTAAAAACCAGACAGGACTTGGGAAGCAGTTGGTATTTCATACATCTTGTTATCAGTAATGCGTGAATTTGGATTACTTTAAGAGATGATGTTTGTATTGTTTTCCTTTTTCTCCCTGCTCTCTGTTTTTTACACCTCATGACTAAGATGAGCTTTGAATACTTGATGTTAAGCACACTGCCACTACTTCCCCAATAATGAAGCTTTGAGTATGTTACTGTGGTTTCCATGTTACTTGCACAGAATTGTACTTCCTACTTTTTGTTTCACCAAACAGTAACTGTTGGCAAGGAAACACATATGGAATAGTAAATTATTTATTAGGAGTAAAATAATCAGGTCCTCATTCTGACAGTATTTATATATGGTTTATTCAGGCAGAAAAAAGAAATATGCAGTTTGGGGTTTGGTATTGACTAATAGCTTCAAATACTCAGTGGAAGGCATTTTTTAGAAATGGAGTGATAGTCTTATCTGTACTTTCCCAGTATTTATATTTCATTCAGTGGATTACAAAGCACTTACATCATTGGCGGTTTGATTTTAAGAATGAGAAAATGAAAGGAATCCCTTTGGTTTTGGGTGCAATGTGCAATTAAATACATGTTTCTGAAGAAACCAATGATCTATACATTACGATATACATAAACGTGTCATAGCAATGTGAGGAAAAAATAAGATGATGTAAAATTAGATCCACGTATAGCAACTTAAGTAATACTTTTAGAGCAGGAAATGGAGAGAACATGTAATCCATTAGAAATTATTATCTGACCTAAAAGGGCCCCAAGCCATTTTACATGCTACAACACAAACTTGGAAACCATTCTTAAATCTTAGCTAATTAGAAGAAGGTCATGAAGCAGTGTATGGAGTTATGGTAGTGAGAAAAAGTCTCTGGAAATGGAGTTGTGTTGGAGTACAGCAACTAGGAAACATCAGTGTCTGGAAGCTGACAAAAAAATTACACATTTTGAAGAGTTCTGCAGGTCCACAGGCCAGAGAGGGAGGGTGACGAGGGGAAGAAAGTAATCTACTCTGTGGTATATAATTATGTTTTTCAGGGACTTGGAGTATGTGGTAATATTTCCTGCAAACTATTACTTGAAACCCCTAAATGCAGCAAGCACAGGTGAATAAAATGACTTTTAAACACTTGTGAGACTGAACATGCACACAGATCTATGGGGTACAAGGAGTTCAGCCAGCCAGTTAATCAAACAGTACCTTGTCTTTCTTCCCAGGTATGCACCCAACTATGTAGCAGAAACCCTGAGTGTGGATGTTTCCCTGTTTGTGGAAGTCAATAGTGGGGCACACTGCAGCCTCTGAGGGCAAGAAGAACGTTCTTTGCTTTCTTACCTTGCTCATGGTGCCATGTTCTTTAAAGAAACAAGGGTTTCTGCAGCACGCACAAGCCTCTCCTTCCGCACATTCATGTGCCAGCTGCTAACAGCACAGTTCACCTTAGAATTTACTCTGTTCTGCACTTGGTGACTGACCCTCCAGCTCCGGGTAACTTGGAGCTGCCCCTTCTGCTTGCCTGCTGTTCCTCGGGGTGGGTATGGCTGCTGCCCCCACCGTGCGGTGGCATAGCAGCCTGTCACTGTCATTTTCATCCCATCAAAAGGATATCATCGTTCATAATCCTAGCACAGCCGGAGGTGGGCAGGGTTAGACAGGCAGCAGGGCTAAGGCAGCCCCAAAGCACCAAAAGAGCTACCCTGAGCTGGTGAGCTAGAAAGCCCTTTGTGGGAAGAGATTCGTGATGGATTTAGGCATACGCCTTTGGCCGGCTTAAAAAAAGCCTTCTTGTAGTGCCTTCTTCTCTTCATTAATTTTAAAAGGACTGAGGATGTTACTTTTTGGTTCATCGTAGGTATGAATTTACTAGAAGAAATAGCAGTGGGGTGAGGCAGTGAATAGCTGCCTCCATTCACTCATAGCTCCCGCAATGTGGCCTGATGAGGACCACATGTCGCCAAGCACTTCAGCTCTCCCCAAAACTGCATGCAGGGAGATGGAGAGAAACTGCTGCCCAATGTAGCAGCCAGGGAATTAGTGCTTCTTGCTGGCCTATGCAAATACTGTGTCCCTGCCCTGTGTCCCAGCCTATCCCCAAGGACACCTCTGTCATGTAACCTGGCATGATGGAGGGGGCCTCCTTGTTCACAGCAGGGCCGTGACAGATCCTCGGCTGGGAATTGCACCTAAAAGAGATGTCTAGCAGACATTGACGTAAACTGTATGATCAACCCCAAATTGATAGAATGAGGGAAAAATGTGAGTATAATAGTAATGTAATCCTACTTACTGCACTTTCTCTTGGGCTGGTAAGGGGACACCAAGCAGACTAACCACTAAAAACCCATGAGGGTTTCATATTTACAGAGTAAGTATATGTAATTGGGATTTACCTTGCTGGAAGTCTCACTGACTGCACATACGTTTCATTTGCTTTAAGAGACCTAATTCTTTCTCTATCTACAGTACAAAGAGACAGATTCTTAAGTGGGATAAAACTGACAATTTCCATGAGTGTGAACTTCATAGAATTTATAGTCCACACTTAAACAATAAACTGCATCTGGTTTATCATATTTAACAGTAAATATGAAACATACACCTCCTGAAGTGAGTGTAATAAAAGTCCATTTCCCTGCTCCTCCCAATTTAGGAAGTTTTTTGACTTGATGCCTTAGATTCATTTAAGTGCCAAGAACATGAAGTAATGTTGGCTTCTATTAATCTTGTTTTGGGGGGCATGACAGTTTTAATGGGAAAAGCTGATAAACATCAGTCTGTGAGTATGGGAGTGGACTGTAACATAAATACTCTTTTCCTGAATGGTCAAAATGAAAACATGAATGCCAAAGTCTGAGAGTTTCTTAGTGTGAACAATGGTATGTGTATCCCTATATATATATTCATGCACATCCACACGCATTTTATACATTCCATGGTGTTAAGGGAATGTATTTTCTTAAGGAATCACACTGTGCAGTGTTTGTCCTTGTCTTAGCTGCATCCTGAACTAAAATAAAAGTCTTATGACCAGCACGAATTTTTAACACTTGAAATGATACCATTCTTCCCCTGATTGACAGGACACACTTCATAAGGCTTAAAACCAACTTCCTGCAAGCCGGGCAGGGTGACTTGATAAGAAAGTGGAATTTAGGGCAATTAAGTGCAATCTGAGCCATGAGAATATATTTGCAGACTGCAATTGTACACCAGCTGTTTTCAATGACATTCCAGCCATACAATGAAGATTTTTACAAACCACATTTATTTAAGGGTTGAATTTTCTGCTGTGGGTTGATAATACACTGTCTGAGGGACTGAGTGAATGCAAACTGTGAATGGAGACGGGGAGATGAATTAACATTAATGAACAGGAATCAGATGCTCTTTGAGCAGGATGAGTCCAGATTGGCAGTGGAACACCTGCAGAACATCAAAATAGAAGAGGGTGAAGTCTGAAATCTCATATTTGCACTGTGACTTAAAAAATTCTGTGAAAATGGTATTTTTTTGAAAAGTTTATATTTCCATATATTTTTATGAAGTGTATATATATATTTCTATTTTGGGATAAAGAAAGAAAATTAGGAACTTCTGTATATACTTCACCAGCTTTGTTCATTTTGCTCTCAACTGTGACATTTTTAGTTGTGTCATGTAGGAGTTTAGCTAGTAGAGACAAAACCTTTATGTCTCCCAAGAGTTCAGTAGTTACGGCATTAAAACAGGTATTAGAGGCACTGATGATACACATTTTAGAAAGCAGGAGTGAATGATGCTGCTGGTAAATCCTTTTCTGTTCAATCTGTATTTTCTTGAATTTACTCCTGTGATAATTCTTGGGATTTAATTTCTTTCTGGTATAAAAGGCCGAATAAGGTGAAGAAAACCCAGAGAAAACTCCTGTTTATTATAGCTACAATACCTTTTATTATGCCTGTGTTCTATGGCTTTTATGTACGTCTTATGTTGATAGTGGGCAGTAATAAAAGTGTCTCTGGGAATCAGAAGTGTTTGGGTTTTAAAGAAGATAAAAATTGAGATGTGTTGCCTTATGCTAGAGAAACAAAAAAAATGCAAAGGTTGTGGGAGTATGTAGTGTTGCTATCCTCAGCCTTTGTTTTGTAAGAACAAAACCAGAGAATTGAAGTAAACAAAATATTTGGACCTGGTCCTGCAATTCCTACATAGGCAAAATTCCCAAAGTCTCAAGGGAAGTTTTGTTTGTGTTGGGAAAGCCGGATTTGGGCCTATTGTTTCCAGTTAGGAACCAGACTTGTGTTTATTATCTCATGATAGACATCTCATGTGCTTAACAGCTCAGATTCCGCAGCCGGAGTCCCTGAATCTGGAAGGGTTAGAGAGTTCCTCACTTTTCCCCTCTTCAAGTGTAGCTACATTCCAGATGATTTAAAAAATCACTTTCTCCTGTAACACTTAGTTGCCCGTGACACTTCTGTTTCACTCCTCCTGTTGGATTTCAGGGTCTTGGCTTTTGGCTTGCATGTGTGTGATAAGAGCAGTAGTACTTTCTGCTTGCTTTCCTTTGCTATTGAAGATTGTTCAAGGTGAAGAGCAATCAGCGGACAGCAGGCCCAGTGCCTCCCAGTATAAGATTATATTTGCAAGTATATGCAGTTCATCCAGGATAAAATTACTGACTGATGGTTGTGTAGTCAGTCAGTGACCTGTCTGTGAGTGGAACCAAAGCATCCTTGTTCCTTGAATTTAACCCAGGGACCCTTTTCCTTTCCTGGAGGATCTTTCAAGAGTTGAATAATGGGTTGGCAGGGAACCTGTGAGATTTTCCATGTAGAGATCCCTGCCCTCCAGCAGGGTCAAATATAGCTAAGTCTGTCCTGATAAAGGATTTTCTGTTGCATTGATATAATGTTAATTCTGCGGATGCCTTGTGCAATTCTATTTGCAGATTGCTGATTTTGGACTCTCCAACCTTTACCACAAAGACAAGTTTCTGCAGACCTTTTGTGGAAGCCCACTGTATGCTTCCCCTGAAATAGTTAATGGACGACCTTACAGAGGCCCAGAGGTAAGAAGGGTCAGCTTTTCCCGTGGTGGTATGGGGATGTCTTTGATGATAATGTTCTTGAGGTTTAGTTTTAATGGTAGTGTTATTTCACATGTGGGTTTGCTTGGATCTCTCCCATACTGTAAGTTCTCAAGCTGCCTTCATTTGCTTTTGTTTGCTTTGTCTGTGATTAGTCAGATGATAGATATGGGTTTGCCCATCAGTAAGCACAGCTGGATGTGATGCTGCTCTTGTGGTGCTAATGGCAGGGAGAAGGGTGGGGATCAGCTTTCCTGGGCTTCTCATGGATTGCCTCTGTATTTCAGGTTGACAGCTGGGCCCTTGGTGTATTGCTTTACACCCTGGTTTATGGAACGATGCCCTTTGATGGCTTCGATCACAAAAATCTCATCAGGCAGATCAGCAGTGGAGAGTATCGTGAGCCAACACAGACCTCAGGTACAGAAAAGGAGTGAGGGCAATGTATTGAGCTGGCAGGAGTTCAGAATGGAGGGTTTGCCTGGCCCCTTCTGACATGTTTTGGTGGTATTTGGTGTTTTGGTGTCATATTAGAATGATGAAGAAAAAAAAATCTCTCATTCCCCTATTGATTTCATATTCCTACCTGGGTGCAGCATTTACCAAAAGCTCTTTTGAAATGAAAGTTTTGTAGCAGATAGATAGATTTTATTGCCTTGGGGAAGCTGTAATGGGTTCTTTTAAACAGATCTATGACAGTGGAAGGTCTGCTAGCTATTGCAAGTGGAATTGTTCAGACAAGCTGTAAACTGATACAACATACTGATACAGATCAGTCCTTGCTAACTACCCTGTGGTATATCACTAGCAAAGAGAGAAAATGAATGGTCAGAGCAATGCAGTCTCTTATCCAAGAAGGAAGGCCAAAATCTGAATTAATGCCACTATGTTCACATTTACTTCTACTTGAAGGATAGCATATAAAGCAGTCACCTGACAGAATAGCATCAACTAAGTCCAGGTCATCGATTATAATGACTCCTTATAGCCTTAAAAAATTGTGTATACATTATATTTAAATAAATATTGTATCATTTGAAAATATACCTTTAAAATATACAAAAGACTACACTGTTTATGGAAAAAGTAAATGCAAAAGCAGTAATGTGTAGATTATTTACAGTATCCCAATTCCCCTTTGTTTTCCTCTATGATTTGCAATTATTAGAGTCAATAGGTTGCTGACTTCTTTCAGTAATATGGAACTATTCACTGACTAATACAGTATAAATACTACTTTGATAACCCAGTGTACATTTCTCTGGGTGAATCATATTCTTCTGATAAGAAGTAGTACTCAAATGCATTTTCCAGCTTTGACTGATGGCCAAAGCTTTGCCCCCTTTCACTTCTCCTGTTGTAAGAAGCATTATTGTTGCTCATTTGATTGCCTTCACAGATTTTAAACTGACAAAACTAAGAATGTGCATACCTAAATATATTATATTCCATTCTTTGTCCATAGATGCTCGTGGTCTTATCAGATGGATGCTGATGGTGAACCCTGAACGTCGAGCAACTATTGAAGACATTGCCAACCACTGGTGGGTGAACTGGGGCTACAAGAGTAGTGTTTGTGACTGTGATGCTATGAGGGACTCCGAGTCCCCATTGCTGGCAAGGTTCATTGATTGGCATCACCGTTCTACTGGCCTCCAACCAGAGACTGATACCAAACTGAAGTGCCTTTCTAAGCCCAAAGTTCCTGAAGTCACACTAGAGAGACAAAGGTCTCTGAAAAAATCAAAAAAGGAAAATGACATTGCACAGTCCATCCAGGAAGGAGGAGCTGAAAACGCATCCAAACCCACCTCCAAGAGACCCAAAGGCATCCTGAAGAAAAGGAGCAACAGTGAACATCGATCTCACAGTGCAGGTTTCATTGAAGGAGTGGTCAGCCCAGGGTTACCCTCTGCTTTTAAGCTGGAGCAAGAGTTGTGTAGGACTGGCATAGCCATTAAAAGTGTTGTGGAGGGAGAGGTAGCGGGTAAATATGGCACTAAGCAGTCTTCACTAATGCCAAAAAAAGGGATATTAAAGAAGACTCAACAGAGGGAGTCTGGCTATTACTCTTCTCCAGAACGAAGTGAATCTTCTGAACTCTTGGACAATAATGATGAGACAGTAAATAGTGACACATCTCCGGGGGTCACTGAGCCATCCAGAAATGGGTCTTACAGCCATTCCTGCAGGCGTAAGGGCATCTTGAAACATAACAGCAAGTATTCTACCAGCAGCACTGAATCTGCTTTGATTAGCCCTGACACACCAACGCTGGAGGCCATGGAAGAAGTGGTCCTGCCTGGGGACGCATTACCTCGAAGTTACAGTCGCCCCTCCAGCGTGATCAGCGATGACAGTATTTTGTCCAGTGACTCCTTTGATTTGCTGGATTTGCAAGAGAACAGGCCAAACAGACAGAGGATACGGAGCTGTGTCTCTGCTGAAAATTTCCTGCAGATCCAAGACTTCGAAGGACTTCAGAACCGACCACGGCCACAGTATCTAAAGCGTTATCGCAACCGTCTGGGGGACAGCAGTTTTTCCCTTCTCACAGACATGGATGATGTGACTCAGGTCTACAAGAAAGCCCTAGAGATCTGCAACAAGCTCAACTAGCAGAGGGAAGATGGAAAGGGAGGGAAGGGAGTTTTTCTGTGTACCTTTGTGGTGGAGTAAGCCAGGTCACTGATTTGCTGACAATGGTAGATTTTGCTTCAAAGGAGCTGGCTGTTCCTTCTTAGCTGAACTCCTAGTAAAATAGCCCCAAAGCCATCTCACACTTCTCTAATTTTGTGTCCTCAAAATATTACCTATCTGACCAGAGGAAAACCTTCGGTCTTTTTGTATACTTGGTGAAATCACATCAGGATCTAGCAGACAAATGCATCAAGATTTGATAGCTCAAAGTCAAAGCTAGACAGAATTAAAACTGGAAGTGAGCGACACATGTTTTGGGAGGTTTGTAATTGATACTCGATTAGCTTTTGAAGAGATGAGCTGAATTCTTCAAGTCAAATTTGAATGTCTTTTAGAAAGAGAGCCTTTGTTTCTCCCTGAAGTTCTTCATCTGGATACAGTCATTGCACATTGGGAACCACTGGCTAGCATTATGCAGGAGGCCTGGCTAGGTGGTCACAACAGTCCCTTCCACCAGGGTGACATGAGAGGTTCTGGATGCATTCTGGGACAGATAATTTGAGAGACTGACCCTAGAATCACCTCATGAGGTGTATGTGAACAAGCAGTGGAGCAGGCATTCAGATCTGACCCCTCCCTAAGGCATTGCTCTTCAGCAAGCAGGAGGCCCTAAGATTGTTTGCAGCTACCACTCCTACCAGCAAAAACAGAGTCACAGAAAAGGTAATGAGAACTGGAAGGAATGGATGTTAGCAGCAGCTAAATAGCCTTTTAAGGCTTTTCAACCTGTGTGTTCAATTCGTGCCTCTCAAAATGGCCAGCCAGATGAATGCCCTGACAAAGATGGATCTAATAGAGGGTCTCAAGGGTTAACTGATTCTCCAATCTAGAGTTCAGTTACTGTCAGCAAGGTGCCACTTTATAGTGTTTGAGGGTAATGGGTAGTTTGCAACCAGGATGTTAGGTAAGGAAAAGATTGTAGCATGTAGGAAATGGGTAGAGGTCAGAAAGTTAGTGGGAAGATGCCTTTCTCCAGTTGAAAATGTTTCTAGTTAGTAGAAATGGAGCAGAAAGAATTGAGCGATGAAATGATAATGGTAGATTTCATAACATAGCATAAAATTGCAGGCCTCTCTCTATATAGTGTAGCTGGTACTGCGTGTGCAATGATACCAGTTTGAAAAAAATAAGTAGGATATATGTTTGTGTTCTCAGACATAACTCACTATCCAGACTGAAGGCTTCAACTCCCATAAAGGTACCACATGGGTCTACTGGATTACCTGAATGTAAGCCTACGTCAGAAAGGCACTGTGTGTTTGACAGGCCTGGGCAAACTGGAATCTTAAGGCCCATTTCAGTCTCATTTCCATGAGCACATAGCCCCTGGCTTTCTTGGAGGCTCACTGGTGTGAGTCAGTGGCAGGTTTCAGCCTATGATGTCAAATGATCCACAGCTGCAAACCCTAAGTCTGCACACATACCTGGGGCAAGCTCTGTTCTCACTCCTACCCTGTAACTGGAGCTGAAAGCAGAATTTGTCCCACTGTGTCCCGAATCCTAGACGACATGAGGAAGTGGAATAGAGTTCTTCTGGGGATCCCCTGGGAGCTGGAGATAACCCCATAAATAACTGGTATCTGGGGCAAGGAGCGATTTCACTTGCAGATTCTTCATTCGGTGTATCATGGTACTTAAGTCTGTCGGTTCCTCCTAAAAATCAGCTGGGCTACCTAGCATAAAGATGAGCGAGCGTGAGTTTCCTAAATCAGTGAAACTGCCTCTGTGGAGGACCTATACTAATTGTGAGACACTGGACCAAATTTGGCCCCGGAGTAAACGGTATCAATACCGTGAAATCTATGAGAGATGTACTCTCTCGCAGTCAATTGGACTTCGGCTCAGGAAGGGCAACTGCAGGTCATTTCTTTACAGATGTGTAACTCTGTATGATACTCAGATGTCCTATCTTCTCACAGGCCCTGCATGTGCTCTTTTAGCCCATCCCATATCAACACCCCATTTTGCAGTGTATTGAGTTAACAAGTTTGCTGTGGTGCATTTTAAAACAACTGGATGTAGTCTCCATGGCCTGTCTGAAACAAGGATGGATGTGCTTTGCAGCCACGGCATTTAACTGCTGGCCCAGAGCATCAGAGCCAGATCTTCAGCTGGTGTAAATCAGCGCTCTCCTGCTGGTGTGATGGAGCATCACTTTGGCGGGGTTATGCCGATTGACACCTTCCCTGCAGATCTGGTGCTAAACCTTGAATGCATTTAGAGAGGTGTCAGGACGAAGGGAAGGGAGCTCAGCCGGCCGTGGCCGGGAAGTGAGGAGCACTCCGAAGGCTCCTATCTCCCGAGGCTTTTGCCCAGGCCTGCTTCCTTGTGTACAAATGTGAATGAGTGAGTGACTGCTTGCTGCCAAACTGGAAATGTTACGTAGGGATTTACTGGCATATTACTGGCATGTTACATGTTTACTGGCATGTTATCATTCCTAGAAGAGAAGAAAAAAAAACCAAACTTGACTGCACATTGTTATTATTAGTGTTGTGATTTTTATTTAATTTTTTTGTAATACAAAGTTGACTTTTTTATTTGAATTTGTCTCTTTTTTTTTTTTTTTTTTTTTTTATTTATTGGTCTGAAAGCCATTTCAAAGGTATAATAATATATTTGGTGTAATTTAATTGGTGCAACATTATTTTACAGCTCCGGCCAAAATTGTTTGGTGTTATTTTTTTGGTTCCTTGTTTTTTTTTCTCCCAATCCTTGGTTGGTTTGAGCTCTGCGAGGCACACAGGGGAAAACGCTGGATAATCGCCCGAAGTGTTTGTATTTTTAATCTGATACTGTTTTTTATTAAATAAAAGGAAATTAATGTAACTGTGAAGAGTCTCTCTCTCCCTTTCCCTTTTCTTTTCCACTGTACATCAGCGTAAGCCGAGGCCAAATGGTAATGAACTTGTCATGCAGAAATACAGCAGCATCTCAGCACATTGTACCATGTTGTTTATGCAAAGCTTCTTGGCTCGTTTGTGCATTTGAATATACTGTGGGTGGCCTCAGAGACTCCTGTGCTACGAAGGGTTTGGCACTGCAGAACGCTCAGAGCTTTCAGCCATAGAAGTGTTTGGTGGAAAAGGGTAGCTGACTGGGCTTTTTCTGCTGGAGAAGAACGAGGTTTGTGGGCTAGGTGTGCTACAGGTGAGACAGAGCAGGCTAGCTGACCCTGCATGGCGCAACTCATCTCTAGCCTGGGGATAGATGGTCACAGTCCTTTCCCCTCTCTGGAAGGGAGAGGGGCAGTTTATTGACGATGTTCCTGTTGGTGTAAATTAGGCGTTATTTGGGCAAAGACGACTGGTGGCTGCTGTCAAACATGGGATGATGGCAGTCAGATGGCTCAGAGCAGCCAGCATAATCAGCTGGTGAGAGGGAAAAAGGGAGTCGGTTTTCATTTTTTTTGGAGTCCCCTTGATAACCAGAAGGCTTTAGATTGTTTTTCTTGGCAAACGGGTGGGCATCATAAGGGAAACTGGGTGTTAGGTATGCTGTGTGTGCTGGGGACTTGTTAAAGTAAATGGTTGGCAATGTCCTAACGTTGGCTCTGAGCAAGACACCATTAAACTTCACCCTTGATGCAGCCAGCCAAGATACCTGTGGTGTATATTCTGCTTTTCAAATTACAGGCGGTTTGGATTAGGATCCAAGGTTTGGGTATCATGCAAAAAAAGGCTTTCATTTTTCTAATTAATTTTCTCTCTCTTGAGCTTTTTAAAGCAAGAAGCCATGGCCGTAGGTGCTAGATTTGTTCATGACAACCATTTTTAAACTAGTGGGAATAAAGGGGAAAAGCCAACCATGCAGAAAGGCAAACAGCCATTAATACATTACAAAGGGAATGAGTAGCTGCTGTATGTTAATTGAGTTGGAAATTGTAAGGTTTATATTCAAAGTCAGCACACGTGTTCTTGTACCTGAGGTGAATGAGGTCTAACTGTGTGGGTGCTGGAAAATGTAATGCAAGCCTCTTCTGTAATAGCAATTATGAAACAACATTTCTTTTCTTTTTAACACACTAGGAAAAAAGCAAAGCTGAGGGCAAACCATTTGTTTTGGTTTAAAAATAATGACTTTTAGGAAGAAAGTTCTGGATGGTTGGGTATGGCACGTGTATGTGGCAAGCACTAAGTAATTACATACGTGTTTGCACAGCTCTGAGAGTGCACGCTTGTGAGGTGGGGAGGAGAGTGTCTCGTTTTCCCGTTTATTAAAGGAGATAAGTGTGCAGTGGTATGCCTCAGTTGAAGTTACATGGTAAGTCTGTAGCCAGACCTGGTCTTCTTTCCAGTTTTTTCCATGGGGATTCCAGTGTTTCTCAGGAACTGTTGAATTTTTATGGATCAGGCAAGGCAGGAGCAAGGAAGCAAGACAGGAGCCTGGGGAGCTACACAGTTGAGTGGCAGAAGCAGTAGTGGTTTTTCTTATAGAGCCACAAACAGTCTTGTCCATTATAACCCTTTCTTTACCTCTCAAAGTTGCTGATTTCTGATTTCTATGTATGTGTGCTGTGTGATAATATCAGGAATCCCTCTCACTTATATTCCTGAAGTCCAGGGGCCAGCTGACATGGCAGCACTGCCTGATGCTGAGTGGTACTTCCATATATGAGTAAAGCACTTGGAGGCCAGCACAAAAACTTGTAGGCTCCTTGAAGATTGCCAGCCCCAAGTCATCGGTGGAGAGGGAGAGAACTTGTGCTGATACAGCATGAGGCGGGTGTTTTCCAGTGCTGTCACCACCTCAGAGCTGATGCCCACAGCCAGCCCCTAGTGCTGGCTTGAGAAGCCAAATTCAGAGCGAAGGGATTCAGCACAATTTCTAGCCACAGAAGTTTGCGTTTGATTTGTGTGTCTCTTCTTGCAGAAGGGACTGGTCTCCATTTGGAGACTTCAGGGACTGGGAAAGCAAGG